ACTAGAACTGAACTAGATTTGAACTAGAACTGAACTTGAACTGAACTTGAACTGAACTAGAACTGAACTAGAACTGAACTAGAACTGAACTAGAACTGAACTAGAACTGAACTAGAACTGAACTAGAACTGAACTAGAACTGAACTAGAACTGAACTAGAACTGAACTAGAACTGAACTAGAACTGAACTAGAACTGAACTAGAACTGAACTGAACTAGAACTGAACTAGAACTGAACTAGAAACTGAACTAGAACTGACTAGAACTGAACTAGAACTGAACTAGAAACTGAACTAGAACTGAAACTAGAACTGAACTAGAACTGAACTAGAACTGAACTAGAACTGAACTAGAACTGAACTAGAACTGAACTAGAACTGAACTAGAACTGAACTAGAACTGAACTAGAACTGAACTAGAACTGAACTAGAACTGAACTAGAACTGAACTAGAACTGAACTAGAACTGAACTAGAACTGAACTAGAACTGAACTAGAAACTGAACTAGATTTGAAACTAGAAGAACTGAACTTGAACTGAACTTGAACTGAACTAGAACTGAACTAGAACTGAACTAGAACTGAACTAGAACCTGAACTAGAACTGAACTAGAACTGAACTAGAACTGACTAGAACTGAACTAGAACTGAACTAGAACTGAACTAGAACTGAACTAGAACTGAACTAGAACTGAACTAGAACTGACTAGAACTGAACTAGAACTGAACTAGAACTGACTAGAACTGAACTAGAACTGAACTAGAACTGAACTAGAACGGAACTAGAACTGAACTAGAACTGAACTAGAACTGAACTAGAACTGAACTAGACTGAACTAGAACTGAACTAGAACTGAACTAGAAACTGAACTAGAACTGAACTAGAACTGAACTAGAACTGAACTAGAACTGAACTAGAACTGAACTAGAACTGAACTAGAACTGAACTAGAACTGAACTAGAAACTGAACTAGAACCTGAACTAGAAACTGAACTAGAACTGAACTAGAACTGAACTAGAACTGAACTAGAAACTGAACTAGACACTGAACTAGAACTGAACTAGAACTGAACTAGAACTGAACTAGAACTGAACTAGAACTGAACTAGAACTGAACTAGAACTGAACTAGAACTGAACTAGAACTGAACTAGAACTGAACTAGAACTGAACTAGAACTGAACTAGAACTGAACTAGAACTGAACTAGAACTGAACTAGAACTGAACTAGAACTGAACTAGAACTGAACTAGAACTGAACTAGAACTGAACTAGAACTGAACTAGAACTGAACTAGAACTGAACTAGAACTGAACTAGAACTGAACTAGAACTGAACTAGAACTGAACTAGAACTGAACTAGAACTGAACTAGAACTGAACTAGAACTGAACTAGAACTGAACTAGAACTGAACTAGAACTGAACTAGAACTGAACTAGAACTGAACTAGAACTGAACTAGAACTGAACTAGAACTGAACTAGAACTGAACTAGAACTGAACTAGAACTGAACTAGAACTGAACTAGAACTGAACTAGAACTGAACTAGAACTGAACTAGAACTGAACTAGAACTGAACTAGAACTGAACTAGAACTGAACTAGAACTGAACTAGAACTGAACTAGAACTGAACTAGAACTGAACTAGAACTGAACTAGAACTGAACTAGAACTGAAACTAGAACTGAACTAGAAACTGAACTAGAACTAACTGAACTAGAACTGAACTCGAACTGAACTAGAACTGAACTAGAACTGAACTAGAACTGAACTAGAACTGAACTAGAACTGAACTAGAACTGAACTAGAACTGAACTAGAATACTGAACTAGAACTGAACTAGAACTGAACTAGAACTGAACTAGAACTGACTAGAACGAACTAGAACTGAACTAGAACTGAACTAGAACTGAACTAGAACTGAACTAGAACTGACTACTACGAATACTGAACTAGAACTGAACTAGAACTGAACTAGGAACTGAACTGAACTGAACTAGAAACTGAACTAGAACTGAACTAGAACTGAACTAGAACTGAACTAGAACTGAACTAGAACTGAACTAGAACTGAACTGAACTAGAACTGAACTAGAACTGAACTAGAACTGAACTAGAACTGAACTAGAACTGAATTAGAACTGAACTAGAACTGAACTAGAACTGAACTAGAACTGAACTAGAACTGAACTAGAACTGAACTAGAACTGAACTAGAACTGAACTAGAACTGAACTAGAACTGAACTAGAACTAGAACTGAACTAGAACTGAACTAGAACTAGAACTGAACTAGAACTGAACTAGAACTGAACTAGAACTGAACTAGAACTGAACTAGAACTGAACTAGAACTGAACTAGAACTGAACTAGAACTGAACTAGAACTAAACTAGAACTGAACTAGAACTGAACTAGAACTGAACTAGAACTGAACTAGAACTGAACTAGAACTGAACTAGAACTGAACTAGAACTGAACTAGAACTGAACTAGAACTGAACTAGAACTGAACTAGAACTGAACTAGAACTGAACTAGAACTGAACTAGAACTGAACTAGAACTGAACTAGAACTGAACTAGAACTGAACTAGAACTGAACTAGAACTGAACTAGAACTGAACTAGAACTGAACTAGAACTGAACTAGAACTGAACTAGAACTGAACTAGAACTGAACTAGAACTGAACTAGAACTGAACTAGAACTGAACTAGAACTGAACTAGAACTGAACTAGAACTGAACTAGAACTAGAACTGAACTAGAACTGAACTAGAACTGAACTAGAACTGAACTAGAACTGAACTAGAACTGAACTAGAACTGAACTAGAACTGAACTAGAACTGAACTAGAACTGAACTAGAACTGAACTAGAACTGAACTAGAACTGAACTAGAACTGAACTAGAACTGAACTAGAACTGAACTAGAACTGAACTAGAACTGAACTAGAACTGAACTAGAACTGAACTAGAACTGAACTAGAACTGAACTAGAACTGAACTAGAACTGAACTAGAACTGAACTAGAACTGAACTAGAACTGAACTAGAACTGAACTAGAACTGAACTAGAACTGAACTAGAACTGAACTAGAACTGAACTAGAACTGAACTAGAACTGAACTAGAACTGAACTAGAACTGAACTAGAACTGAACTAGAACTGAACTAGAACTGAACTAGAACTGTAACGTAATCATTAAAATGGCGGGCGGGCGATAGTGCAATTTATGATCGCGAAATTTCTGATATTTCACAAGTTACGAAAATTTTACTTATTTGTTCTTTCATTAAAGTAGAAATCATATTCTTGGCTAATACAATTTTTTTTATGCATAACCCTATTAAATACCGAACAAAACAGTATTTGAACCCAATGAAAACTTCGAATCTCGACTTATACCCAGATTTTTGCTCTGTATGGCAATTGAAATAAAACTGTTTCGCTTTGGTCTTTTATGGAAGGAAATGTCAATGTAAAATAAGATTTCAAACTATGGCTTAAGATAAATATTTTTTAAAAACATTTTGATTGGGTTCGAGTCGCTAATAAGTAAAAAATAAAATAAAATGAGATAATTAAAAAACTTTTAAGACTTCATGACAACTTAGTTGTTCAAGTATTTTTTTTATATAAAAGCAAAAAAAGAAAATACTTATTATAATACATGAGTAAAAATAAGCTTTTAATTTAATTTCATTAAGTTATTTTTTTTTTGTTCGAGAAAGTAGTAAAACTTTACGGTGTGTGACAAATCATTTTCCTTATTGGGTGAATTTGTTTTTGTGCTGTTTCTGTGTATTTTTTTAGTTTTAATTTGTTCATTGCTTTTTGCCTAAGTACAATTAACATAAATTTTAGGTAAAACATCTAATGAATCTCAGTCAATACTTTATCGAAGTATGGTGATTATTTTATGGACTGGTTAGTTTTTTTTTTTTTTCAAAATGTGTTTGTTTGGTAATACAACCATCCTACGCATTAATTTCAACAAAAAGTTAAATAAAAATATGTATAACAATGTTAATGATTGAATTCAATTTTAATCGTATTTAAGCTGTGATATTCCTTTTTAATATCCTTGCTGTTTTTTAAAGCATTATTAACAGTTACCATGATTTTACTATACAATAAGCATTTAGGAAAGGGATTTAATTACTGTTTTACCTTTGAAACCGTTTTACCATTGAGTTGTAGCTTAATCTAGCAGTAATGCCAACTATATGAATTTAAGTAGAAAATTATTTATTATATATAGAAAATTAATTATTATATTCCACTTTAAACTAAAAATAATTTTTTATTAAAAATTATTTTTTTATTTTATATAACTATCCTGCCGGTTCTGGACGAAATTCCTCACATTTCCTTATCGGGTCAATAGAAATAAATAATTCACTTTTAGTCCAATATTAAAGAACTTTCGAAAATTGTAGAAGTTTTCTTTCCTTTTAATATCTTCCTGGATCAATATTTTTACTAACTACGATTTGTAGTTCATTCGAGCAAAATACCTCAATGTAGAACTTAGTTCAGAACAATCAGTTCTCAGATGATCTCACCTATTTCAATTGATTAGGTGAAATTGCTTTAAAGCTGTCGGACGTAAACAGGAAACTCAAACACTTCTCACGAATTCATATGCGCATTCTGAACTTTTCCAAAAATTGTGTCTAGTTTTTCATAATTTTGTGAAAAATAAACACATTTTAATTAAAACTAAAATTTTCCATTTATTCAAAAACGCATTTTTATAATTCAAAAGTACCTATTTAATCTTTCAAAAACATTTCTATCAACACAAATTTCCGCTACATTGACAGCACTGCTAGTAACACACTACCAAATTTAGTGGCTTCTTTCTAACCCCTAATTTCAAGCTGTGCGAAAGAGACAACACTACTAGACTTACGAAATACAAGAAGCAAAGCATATGACGAAGAAGACGAAGAAAAAAATAACTGATCGTACATGAAAGCGAAATTTTTAGCTCACATCTTTTCAGTTTTATTTTTCAACTCTCTGGGATCGGTTATCGTAACGTAAATACGAATAAAAGTAGAAAAATCAAAGCAAAACTGATTTAACTAAAAAGGAATGAATTAAAGAAACAAAAAACAATTTATGAATTTTAAATACACCTTCAATTAAAAAAGAAATTTTCAATAAATTAAATAAGAATTTTAAAAAATAGCAAAAATGTAAGAAGAAATTGTGGAATTGTGTGGATGGATAAAAATATAGAGAAAGAAAAGAAGACAAAGTTTTTTTTTCTTTATTGTGAAGTGAAATAAATACAGCAACAACATTAAAAGTAGTACAACTAAAAATATGAAATTAGAAAAAAAACACCCACAAAGTGCAAAAATAATAAAAAAGAAATGTTTCTACAGCAAACACACCTTTAAGAATTTGAATGTTAAAAATACTTTGTGCTTTTTGTTGTTGGAAGTATTAAAAATTTTATAGAAAGAAACTGTAGTGAAATTCTTTTGACAATTTTTTTTCTTAGTTTCTTTTTCATACATTTTTCACTTTCGTAATCCGTTTTAGGCTTGTTGTTTGTATTCGTAGTAATACGTACCGTATCGTACCGAAACGTGTGAACGTAAAAACGCTGAAACAAACACACACGCTTGTGATGTTGCAATGAATTTTTAAGATGAAATTGAAAATTTAGAATATGTTCGTTCTAAGGGAAATTTTCCAAAACAAAGAAAGTCCTTTTTGTTTAAATTGTTTTAAAAATAGCATTCTATTTATAGTAAAATTTTTATGGAAATGTTTTTTAAAAAAAAAACAGCATCCTTTTTCGGTTTTTTTATTCCTTTTTTGCTGTAAATTCGTTGTAACAGCAAGAATTTTGTTTTGATTCTTTTTTACATGCACATCTTATTTTCTCTTTCTTTTCCCATTCTCTCCCTCTCATTATTATCATTACTTGTTCTCTTTTTCTCCAATGTTCTGTTACAAATTTGTTGTTGTGTTGTGTGTATGTGTTGTTTTTTCATCTTATTTTTGTTGTTGCTTTCTGTGTGTATTTATAAAGTGGATTAATCATTTATTTTACAATTTATTTTCTTCAATATTAAATCAATTTTTATTTTTAGATCGCGTTTCTTATTTATTTCTCTTTCGATTTTCTTCTTAATAAAATTTAAAGAAAAATTCAAAAAGAAAACACAGAATCCCTTTGAAACATTCCAATTCATTTTGAATGTTTTTTTTTTTAACTTTTTTTCTTTAAGCAAATGATCTTTGTTGTTGTTGAATAGAGTGTATGCATATGGGAGAGAAAAAAAGTTAGTGATTTTGGTGGGTGTATTTCTTGTTATTGTTGTTCTGTCAGTTTGCTGTGTTGGTTTCACTTACAAATTCTTAAAAAAAAAAAAACTTTGTATTCTTCTTTAATCATTCTCTAGACAAGTTTATAAACTGAATTAATAAAACAATTAATTAAAAAAACATTTTACTAATTAATTTATTTCAAATTCCAGCATTTAAAAATCTACAAATTTAACTTCCAAAAAGGAAAAGCAGAAAACAAAGTGTGTTAAATATTGAAACTTAATAAATCATTTAAAAGGAATTCTTTTGCCAACTTACAAAAAGAATTAAAAATAAAATATTTGTGCAATAATTACAAATCAAAAATTATTTGTTAAACAACTTAAGAAAAACGAAACTAAATATTAGTTTCAATAAATTTTTCTTGTAAAATTTAACAAAGTTTAAGTAAAAAACGCAACTTTTCGCCACTACTACTAAAATCGTTTAACGATACAAAAAAAATAATAAATTTTTCTTTCTAAAACTGTTAATAAAAACAATACCAAAATTTTTGTCACAATGAGTGTGTGTGAAAATAGCAACTCAGTTGTTCAACAACATCAGCAGCAAGTTCCGCCACAGCATCTGCAAGCGGCTCAACAACAGCAGCCCCAGCTGCAGCAACAGCAGCAAACCCAACAGCAAAGTACACAAAGTATTGCTGATTATTTGGCTCAGCTACTTAAGGATCGTAAACAGTTGGCTGCATTCCCAAATGTTTTCAATCATGTCGAACGTCTACTTGACGAAGGTAAGTTGTGGACTTTTAAACATATTGCAATTATTTTTAATAGAAAATTAGAAAAAAATATGTATATTAATGGCAAATAGCCAATGTTGGAACAAATATTTCGCTAGTAGATTGGAAATTTTACTATTTGAAGGAAACTTTTAGAATGTCTTTGAGAATTTCAAAATAATTAGTATACTTTAAACCCTTTTTTCTTCGGCTTTACCTTCCAACTTTTACGGAGGAGAAACTTTTAAGTTCTAACATTTCATTTGATGTCGACTTTAAAATGGCGATGTGCTAAGTATATGAAATTGATATTTGCGTTTATTCTGTGATAGATCACTGATCTATACTAAAAAAAACAGTGGTCAAACATAATTGTTTTACTTTATATAAAATTTGTGAAGTTTATTAGTTTAGTTTCGTCCAAAATGTTGTAAATATTCAAAAATTTGCCAAAAACCGATTTGTAATCGATTTGTATGTAATCTGTTCGACAAAACATTATCCAAAACTTTTCAATTATCAATATTTTTGTCTAATTTCGAAATAAAAACCAAATTTCACCACAATACGAAATGCAAAAGCAAATATTCAATTGAATTTTAAGATTTTACAATGTTTTTTATATAAAATTTACATCTTGATTTCTTTTAAAACATTCGATTATTAAACATTTTATGGTTTTTAAAAGATCTTAACATTAAAAAGAATCATTGTTTCTTATTATTTTTCTAATTTTAAAATTATATTTATGTTTAAAAATATTATAAAAATTAAATTTACAATGTAATTGTTGAACACAAGTAGTAATTTTTGTAAATAAATTAAATTTAACTATAAAAGTTTATGGGTTTTCAATGAACTGCAACTGCTATTCTTGATGTTTGTCTGTGGTAATATAAATTTATTACTTTTTTCTATAAATTGTTAACATTTTATTTTTGTTTTTTAAACATAAAATCTTTTAACAACTGTTTTTGTTTTACACATATAGATTTTAAAAGTATGTAGTTATTGTTTAGGTTTTGCTTTATTTTATGATAAACTTTTTAAATTAGTATAAAAAGTTTGTGGCAAAATTTTAAAAGTAAGATTAATATTTAATAAATCTTGATAAGAATTTTTTAGATCCAATCTTCTTTAATTTAAAAAATATACATATCTTTTAAGTTCATTAGCGTTTTTTCTGTGTTTTGTGTCACAATTTCAAAATTGATTGTAATGCAATTTATTTTATTCTTAATCCACCATTTTTTATTAAATATTTCTTACTCTTTTTGGTTAGAAATTATTTGTTGTTTTTGTTTTATTTCAATTTCAATATCAATTACTAATTAGTATGCAAGACCATGCTAGAAAACCATATTGTAGTCGTATGCTACGTTAATAATACTAATAAAATATTAAAAAAAAAAGAAAAAATAATAATAAAATAATATCAATAATAAAAGAACATCATCATTTACCATTTAGTATAAATATTTATTTAACAATACAAGTACTTACGCACTCATACATTCACCTACAAAAATTGTATTTTGTTAAATTCCTCTGCATGCCGCCTACTAACTGATCTAACTGAATGACTACTCATTACACACAGCCATACTTTGTCTTGTATACATTCAGCTAACTTACACATATATTGAATATTTATTAGAGGCAACAGCAGCAGTAGAGAAACAGAGATATAAAGAATTTATATTTAAATACATTAAAGAAAAAAACTTTGTCTCGTTGCATATGTGTGAAATACCTACATTTGTTGATATTTATTCAAATTAAATATCTTTTTTTCTTAAACGACATATCATATGAAAATGTACAACAACAATGCAAGTATATTGTAGTAATATCAAATATATAAAAAATTCTTAAACAGCTAAAAAATAACGCAAAGGAAAACCGTGTTTTTCTTCTGCTATTGTTATTCTGACCGTCCGTCTGTACGTTGTGTCTTTTTGTCTGTTTGTTGTTTTGTTTGTATTTTATGATGATCACAAATAAAAACAACAATTTTCAGTTCATTCCACCTTCTCTTTTAACACGATAGAATGAGAGAGTTTCTTAATGTAAGTTTATATTTGGATTATTGTACGTGCGTATTTTTTGAAGTTTTTTCTTTCTTATTTTCATTTACAGAACTTTAAGAGTTTTCTTTCTACATTCCAAGTTTTTAAAATTTAAGATTCCATTTCTACATATAAGGTATTTTAACATGTCAGATCTTAAGATAGATCCTTTTTCCTTAATACTCTCAAAGTGTTTTTCAAGTTGTTTTTACTTATCTACAATTACTTTGCCTATCGGTTTCCATTTCTAAGTTTTTATTGTACTTTTGTGAGTGAGAGAAAGAACGGATTCTTTACTCCCTATGATATCTCAACATTTTTGTCAAAATCTAAGCAATTATAGTTTTAAAACAATTTTATCGCACCAATGAACTATAAATATGTCCAAATTTAAATATAAATATGTCTGAAGTTGCCAACGAAATATACCTATATAGAGATATCGATCTTTATTTAATGTTCTAATAAAAGGATTGTTTTTGCCATAACAGACTTATCGACTTTGCTTGCAAAACCCTGGGACCGAATTGTCTCTTATGTAAATGATCGGGTGATATTGACAGTAATTTTAATAGTTCAGTTCTATTTCATTTCCAGTTCAGCTCTAATTCAGTTCAATTCAAAGCAATTATTTTTAAATGTTTAATTGGAATGTAAATTAAAAAAGATTTGTTTCTTTCAAAACCCTGTCCTTGGGTATTTACTTAAAATAAACGAATAATCTACTTGGTACATTATTACTTTATTTTCTTTTCTTTTAAAACTATGATGGTCTTTTACATCCTCTATTTTTGCTTTTTGATTTAAGGGCTGGCTGGTTGGCTGCTTGACTATTGGACTAGACACAAAAAGACAAACAGACAGACAGAGAAATACACCTTACGTTTTGATAATATATTTCAACTTTTGTTGTTTTTTTCTAGATCAACTTTGTCTCAATGAATTCTTGGGTTTTATAACGTTCAATGTATTCTAGTGATGCTCATAATGATGTTTATTAAACGCGTCTGTTTGTTTATTTTTTCCTCTTCCTACTCCCTTTCCAAATATTTAAATAAGACAAAAAAAATCTCTGAGCATGGGGTAGCTTCTTTTGTTTTTATTTTACTGCTTTACATTTTCCGGCTTTTTAAGGTTTATTGTATTTAATTTTTTATCTTAAAATATATTTTTTTAATACTGTTTATTTTACGATAAATTGTTGAGAAGAAAAAAAATGAACGTCTTGAAACAATTGAACAACAACGGCTGCTATTTGAAGAGTAGAGTGGGGGTCACATATACATAAACTGGAGGGTTAGGTATTTCTTGTTGTCTTCTATTACTAGACTAAAATAGAAATAGAATTATTAAATTATACGGACAGCAACAGCAGAGTTTGGCTGCTGCATTCATAAACAATCTTATTAAGTACTGAGAATAAATAGTTTAGGAGTAGGTATGTATGTATGTGTTTTACGTAGGTAACCAGAGTATTAAGTGGATGCCTGTTAGGCTTTTGTTGTAGTTGTGTGTGTGTTTTCTTGGTTTCTGTAGGAATATCACATTTTTTTGTTATATTTATATTTTGATAATCTTTTAATGGTATTTAAAGTGCCACAAACTTTTTTGTTTTAATTTAAAAATAATTTCATGTTTTTTATTATTAATTTCCTTTAGGTATTCAAAATAAGAATTTTTTTTAGGATTGAAAATCCTCTGATCTGCGACTTGTTGTTCCATGATTTGAAGCTTGTAAAGTGTCTTGCTTTTATTTTTTTAATTTTTGTTAGTTTTTCTGTTAATTTTTACTTTTTTTAAGAGAACTATCAAAATCTTGTTTTAAAAAATAAAAACTTTAAAAGTCATTCAAACTCTTGAAGCCACTAAGTAAATATATCTAGTAAAGCAAGTTTCTAATATTTGCAAAAAATAAGAAAAAACTCAAACACTTTGAAACTTAAAAGTTAAAAAACTGGATTTATTTTTCTATTTTGTTTTATTATAAAACTTATTAATGACATTTATATAACACAAAAATTAAGAATAAATAAAAATAAAAATTAAATCACGTTTAAATTGATTTAAAATTAAATATTTTTTTATTTTTTGTTAAAATTTTCAAAATCTTAAGAATTGCATATGAACAACAGATGTGTGTTTTTTCAAATATTTACTAATGATATTCCTAAAATATTTTCAAATCTAAATTCTTTTATTGTGTTGTTGTTTAGAGGGCTCAGGTAGTAGTTTATTTTGTATAGAGCCTTGCAATGCCTTTAACACCCGCACACCCGCCTGTGGTTTTGTTTTCATACCTTTTTTTCTTGAAAACGTCTCTTAATACGGCGCCTTTTTATGTGTTTTCCCATATTTTTGTCATAATGAAATACATATTTTCTGTATTTTTTGTTTCAAAACAATAAGTGTTTATTTGTGCACGCCTCTTGACAAAATGTTGTATTTTACTGTCATACAAACTAAGCGGTCAGTCAAATAAGTTGCTACAACAGATGAGTTTAGAATGTTAAGTAAATATAATAGAAATAAATAAATATTTCAATGACATTTTGGAATTTCCGCTAAATACATTTAATAGCTTAAAACGGCCTTAAATGTAACACAAAAAGATGATAACAATTTACTTCACTCGCGAATGAATAGAGAAATATAAAATTAAAGAAATTCTAAGAATATTCTTCGAGTTTTTTAATTTGCATTAAAAATGATTTAATTAATAATCTCAAATTGAAAGAAAACTTTAAAAAATTTTTTATAATAAACTTTTTAAACAATTAAATTTATTGTTACAATTAAATCATATACAAACATATACAAGTGATTGCTTAAGTAGCTCATTTTTTTAAATCTAATTTAATTTATTTAATGTCGCAATCACAACAAAAATACATTAGACTACAAACATGACCGGTTCTTTAAATTTTATTTGAAATCCCGTCATAA